CACAATCCCATTATTTATTTATTTTTTTAAAAATTTCTCGTTAACTTCAATGATGAGTCACGAGTAACGGAGTAATGTCAGTAATGATTACACCCATTCGGTTATCCATAAAAATATAAGCATTCACAAGAATCAAGAAAATAAATTCTTGATATAAGCTAAAACGAGAACTCCTGCTACGAAACATGACAATCTTTGAAGAGTATCGATACATCTCGTTTCATTTACTGATTATAAAACACTGAATGTATTAAATCAGATACTCATAAGAGGTTATGAGTTTCTTATTAAAGTTAAAGGGAGATCACATTACCCGAAATTCCCCTTATAGATTCACTGTTTAATATCAAGGCTTCGTAGACTCACTTTTTTATGGTTACATCTTTGATAGATTCAGCCAGCTAAGAATTACATGGGATTCCGTATATGCTCGTTATAATAATTTCCCTATAACAGTTACGAACCATTTTACTTCCTCACAGCAGTGAGGAAATAGCATGGACTTTTCCTACGTTAGTGACCAATCAGTCAACACGTGATGACACATTTTAATACTTCATCAAACTTAGAGTAGTACAGAACCGCTGTCTTGTAGACGCCCGCTAATTAAACTTCGTAAGCTGTAATTACTTAATTAGTCTGAGTAATTTGTAACTGGTAACGACATATGGAAAGACTGCAAAGCTTTACGAATTTCGTAAGAGATAGAACTCTAAAAAACTATGTAATATTATTATCAAAATACCACTAGTCTGTGCAATTGGTAACACTGGTAACAACATATGCAAAGCTTTCTGCTAAAAGCTCTCGAGAGCGACCGCCCCCAATAGGTTTATCAAATAGTGACAAGTGATGACGTCACAAAAACTAAATTTGTGACATCATGGAATTGGTTGACACATCCAGTAAGAACAAAATAAAAAATGTTCACTTGTTATTGACAGTGCAAATTGGTGAGGAGAATACGCAAGGTTATGGTCAGATGACTCCATATAAATTATTCTAAAATAGGCCTGGATCGTTGACGTTACGATCCAAGCCAATTTCAGAAGGATGTGTATGACATCATCAGAGCAAACCCATTCTGATTTCTTTTCACCAATTAGCAATAACAGCCTGATTCTTAGCGAGGGCATTTTTTTTGAGCTTGTTCTTTCTTAATATGCTAACCAACCCCATAAGTTCACAAGTTTGAATTTTCGTGACGTCACACCTCTCCTCTCTATCGAGACCACTTTAAACAAAAATCCTCGCAGTCGCTAAAAAGAGCTTTGACTGTAGAATCAAACTTCTATTCCCAACTATAAAAGAAAAAAATTGCGTTTTGCTATTGTCTAATTATCTACATTTCATATATTTTAATTCATGACAAAAAGTTCCTGATAGGATAAATATATAGGGAACAATACTAGATGATAGTCAGATAGTTCATTTATATAACTTGTAACCCAAGAGTTGAATTACTTCATATTTGCATGGTAAAAAATATAAAATAAAAACATACATATTAAATCATTACATAATTAAAAAGATGAAAACTAGATCTACAAATGCGATAAATTCTCAAAATACCTAATTCTTAAAATGCAATGAAATATATACTAAACTTACACACACACTTAAGACAGTTTACTAACAACAATTAACGATTACATGAAGTCCATTTAAACCCGCAAATAGCAGGTGCAAGTCGAGGCGGGCGGAGATACAGGACTTCTGTTAAATTTTGGAATCTAAAATCTTAAGCCTTGAGTGCGTTGAAGACAATAAAACTTTTACGAAATCTCTCAGTAAAGAGAGTAGAGTCGTAAATGATACAGCATAACTGGCTATGGTGTTCCTCCATAGGTCTTATGCTCAACATTTTCGATCCTATGCCAAAAGTACAAACTTTTTCCTGGCAACATTATAGGCCACTTACACTAAGAAGTCACGTGACCAATGCTTCCTTTAAACAATGAGTTGGAATCTTGCTGATGACAAAAATTGTTAGAGCACATAAAAACTATCTTACACCCAAAATCTGAGAGGAAACGCGTTTAAGGTGGCTCGACTGGATTTTTTAAGGGCGATACCTCCCAAGTTTGAGCCTTAACTACGTCGGCATGAGTAAAGATATCGAAAAAAGGTTACCACAACTGTATTACATAAAGATGAAAATTTCTTATGATCTGGGTTTTATTGCAATCGGAGTCGCCATGGCAACGTAATGACGCCATTTCGTTTTTTTGAAATACACTTTTAAGAATCATAAAAACAGTGAAATAGCATGCTAGCCGCTCAATTCGCTAATATATTAAGAAAATGATAAGCTTTGGGAACGCGGCTTCATCTCATAGTGGATTGATTCCATTGAAAACTGCATACAAAAAAAGAGGGGAATTGCTCTGGGCGATCGCGAGTAAGAAGAATTTTATTAACTTGCATTCAGCTGCTTTTGATACAGTTTTTGGAGGTAATTTGGTCCATGCCTAAGAATTTCACATTTTTCCAAAAACCGCTCGATAAATTTTTTTATAAATTCGACAATTCCGAGATCAATGGTCAAGAAATATTCCCTGCAAGTTTCAAGAACATTGAAAACCGGGAAGGCTTTTAAATAGGGACTCAAACATAACCAATTTTCCCCCCAGATTTTGTGTTTACAAGTGAGCGTCCTCATTATTCACTGGCATTGTTTTCAAGTTTCTTAAGGGAGATATTTTATGGCACTTTGATTTTTCAACAAAGTAGTATGATTTGTATTGGCTGCCATGTTGGAGGGCATGCTCTTGCCCTCCAACATGGCGGCCAAAACTACTTTTTGCTTATATCTTGTTCAACGTTTGATAGTTACGCTCAGATGTGCTGTAACCGTTATCACATCATCTTTTCGACATTTTCCTTGAAGTTTAAGGGCAAAATTTGTGTTCACAGAGAGGTAATTCATAATTTTAAAAATCATATTTTGGTCACGTGACCATTTACGAACTTATTCATTTTAAGAAAATGGTGCGGGTTTGAAAAACCAAATCACCATTATTTTGTTTAAGATATGACCCACTAATCGTTTTTAGAAGGCAAAAACATATAACTTTCATTTTCATAAAAACGATGTCACATGACCTCTTAGTGCAAATGGCCTATTGAACTTGCCCTTCTCTCCAGATGCCCGAGCACATTTATTAGGCACAATGAGAGGGCATGATAGAGGGTTGGTATAGCATAACCGATTATTGCTCTAACACACGACATATACATCTTAACGAACAGTATTTCAAAGCACCACTTTTTAGCTAATTTCTCGTTTTAACCACGACTAGAATTTTTATTGCGGGGACAATTTAGCGCCCCCGCCAAATTTTAAGGCACAAATTGTCACAAAAGCGCGAGAGTGTCACAACTATATCCTTTGAATGAAACGAATTGACATACATACACACATACTTTGTTACCTCCCCAAAAGGACTTTTCAGAAACATTGATAAAATTACATTATTTATTTATAATAACTAATTACAACACTTAACCTAATACTAATTACAATGTTAGCTAATAAATAATTACAATGTAGAAGAAGTAGTATCAATGCAAAGTGCAACAGTTAATTTTGGAGCATATGACAGGAGAAAAAGGAAATTTTGCCATTGAAGTTCGTGTTAATTTTCAGTAACGCTTATTTTTTGCGCCGGTAATATAGTGGAGCGTTAGTATTGATCTGCGACCTTAATTAAATTCTCGATACAACGAAAACATTAGCTACAGGCCTATTCAGGATTACACTGACCCAGACGATCACTTACTCGAGTATAAAAAGGTAAAGATGCACCCAAGCCAAAGGCCCAAACGACCGGAGCTTATCCCGGTTTCATTAGCATGAAGCACCTAGGAGTATTGCTTCTCCCCCTTCGACGGGATGCTAGTCCATCGCAGGGTTACCCCCCAGCAGTATGCCGCCGGTACCCATTCATACACCTAGGTGAAGAGAGACAAAGAGGAGGAAAGTTTCTTGTCTAAGGAAACAACGCGACGGGAGAGGCTTGAACCCCGGACCTCCAGATCAGGGCCGACTTGCTCAAAGCTGGGTTAAAATAACCTAGGGTTAGTGCGAGATTTGAATTCAGATTTGAAAGCCTAAAAAAACATTTCAGTTTAATTCTTTTGGTCTACAAGTTGATGATTGGAAGCTCTAAAAATAACAGAGAAAAATATCTGAGAAAATGTTTGTGAACACAAGAAAAAGAAACCCGGGTTAAATTTAACCCCGGGTTAAGCGCTAATCGGCCTTCGAACAACTGGGCCCAGGAGTTCGAGGTGTTAATCACTTGGCCACACACGCCACCACAAATTATTCGACTATAGTGCCTTCCAACTTGTTGGACCAAACCCTGCAACACACATATATTCATACAAACATACAAAGATACAAACGCTCAGACCGCTGACATATAAGCCATTTTTTCAAAACAGCTCAAAAAGGAACATATGTATGTCTAGGCCTGAAATGTATTTTCATAGATTAGATTTCACTAACACGACTGTTGCCAATTAACACTTACAATAAAGTAAATAGTAAGACAAATTATACCTCCTTACTCTCCTTACTCTCCTTACACGAGAGAGTGTAGTGTAGCCTCCCAAGCAGACGTTCGTTTAGCTCACTTTGGAATCCTCTACAAGGAACAAGTATAGAAACCCTAAAAACGTTGCTTGGGACTGAGGCTTAGTGCAGTGCGCAGTGGTGTTCTCCTTTAAACCGGAGAGTAAACCCAGGGATCACTCCCTTATTTAGCATAAACGAGTATGTGCCGCTGAACAGGTTATGGTAGGATGTTGAGTCTTATACATATAAGGATATACATTTTACTATTTAGCTTCCTGAACAGTGTCTTGTTGGGACCGGATGTGTCCAAAAAAAGAGTTTTAAAAAATCAAATTTCGGCCTAAACCAGAGTCGGGGTTTGATTGAAACCCCTGACGACACACCTCAACCAAACTTCCCTTGAGCCCCCCTGGGGCAGTTAACCGTGGACCATTTTCCACATTCTCTCAACAAGGGCATTACATTGTTCGCTCCAACTGAATACTCCTCTATAAGATGCTCTCAATACTTTCATCTCTTGAAGCCGCATTGCATGCCTGATACGAACAGCTTCAATCGCTTCTGCCCACTTTACAGGATCATCTGAATACACGATGCACGTATTACCATAAGGAACATTTTCTAATGCTTTGGCAAACCCTGACCTGCTTCCAACAAGAATAGGTAGGCCTGCTGACAAGGCCTCGAGGGCAACAAGGCCAAATCCTTCTGATTTTGACGGCATGATGGCAAGGTCGGCTTCACAGAGCAAATCCTTCATTCTGTCTCTACATCGTATAAATTTCCTAACAGTCAGCTGTGCTTCTGCAATGCCACGCTGAATAAGCTTCTGTCTAACCTCTTCTTGTTTTCCTTCAGGTGCTCCAACAAAGATTAGATGATAAGGTTTGTTTTTTAGCCGTTGATCAGTAAATGCTTGGGCAGCAATGTTGTATCCCTTTAGTTCAAAGTCCTCATCGTCACCACGACCAAATAACAACACTTTGAATTCGGCATGACCATGAAAAGATTGCGTTAGATCCCCGAACTCCCGGTGAAAAAGACCAGGAGTAATTGGAAAGACCTTTTGATCGGCCTTAAATCGCTTTAAATATGAAGAGTATGCTTCTTTCAGTCTGGGTCCCACAGGTACAACAAGATCAGCAAGTTTGCAAAGTTCGACTTCTGCCTGATGTTTTGTTTCACCTCTCGAAATGGGATCTGCGTAGCGTTTGTATTTGCTAAGGTCCTCTGGAGCGGTATGCACCACTTGAACCCACTTAAAATTTGGAAATTGAGCAAAGTTTCTCATGACTTGTCCTTGCCGGCCAAGTTTTACGCCATGACCAACAACGACGTCCATGACATGGTCCTTGGGTGGAAAGCTCAACCAGTCAAGACGATCAAATGCGGCATGTGCCCTCGCCTCAACAACACTGATCTTATAGCTATCAGCTTCTTGCTTTTCCTGCAACGTGCAAGCTCCCTCAGGTACTAACAAAGAAACTTTCACTGCTGGATTATAAGACAGATGAATCGCGAGCTCTCTGTTGAACGTTGAGAGTCCCCCAGCGGATGATGCCCACTCATCACCAAGAAGAGTAATGTTTAGGACTGTCCTGGTAAAAGGAGCGGCACTCTTAACAGTTGCTTTATGTGGGGTGGTTTCTGCACTGGTCTCGGGAGGGCAAGCCTGCAAAAACAAATACAATAACAATGAAACATCAGCAGTTCCGAGACGAAAAGATATGGCAGGTTTAGCACTTCTGTTGCAGGCCCGCACTATAACTTGATTTACTTCAGTCTTAAAAAATAATTAGGTAGATAATGTGCACTGTTATTCTTCATAATGATTCCCTTGTACTCTAAATATACTTTAACAACAAAGACTCTTACATGATAACCAGTCTCTGCGACGGAAGACACAGAAGTCAAACTTATTGGATAAAGAACCTCAACTATCAATCAGTCTTAACGAATAATTAATGTAAGGTTAACACATTGACAGCTAATTTTAATAACGTTATCATAGCACACCACGTATCGCACATGACAATCTTATACATGTTTATGCATTGAGGGTTTCCTATAAGATCAGTTGAGGTACGTATTCATTCTTTTACAGCGTCCTAGAGTTCAGAACAGTTCCCGCAAGGTTTAACTAGTTTCTTCCTAATTCTAGTCTTGCCCCTGTCGCAGTCGTACAAAATCACGATCTATGTACAGGCAACATTCCCTTGTCATGGTCGATATAGAAGCCTAGATATACGTAGATATACGAAGCCTGGCACACCAGAAAAATATGCAAACTCGATATTTGACCTCCTAGTGTGTGCTAATCTTCCAAAAATCTATTTCAGTAGACACTTTTACATTATTATCAAGGTAACAGCCAGCTGTTAAAGTTTTGTGTTTAAACTCTATAATTACAGGCAAATTATTTATATGTTCCTTATTTTGTAAATTTTTGGATGCAATGGATACTCCTTGCATATAGTTAATTCGTGGTTTTTGCAGTGCGTCGAACAAATCTGTGGCATGTAACACTTCGAGCATAATTTGAGCTTTCCAGGGAGCGCTTGTCTTCCATTTTGACAAATTTTTCAAAAAAGGGAAGTTTCCATAATATATGCATGCAGCATATTAGATTCACTGTACAAGTACACCCTGATAAAGGGTGGATTTGTACCTAACCTTTTCACCTTTATCTATAGCAAAAATGTTTTTAAGATAAAACGCTGTTTCTCTTTTCTTTCACAGAGCATGTCACTGCAACGTCTCCTATTTCTCTGCAATTTCCTTGTATTATTAAGTAACAGCCTCTTCCCTCCCTCGTTTCATGCTCACACGAAAAATATGTTTTCAGTCTCGTCCTCTTCCTATGATCTTAGAATTTAGAATGTCACACCACAATAATTAAGGAAAGGAGTTTTGACTGATTTTACATTTAACAGGTTTATTCGCATAGTGTTTTATTAGCATCACATAACTTGCATTTTTCTATATCACCGGGTCATGAAAGCTAGCCTTTTACTTAATTCCTCACATACAGACTACCAAATGTAACAAGTTCAAAAGATGTGTTATGGTGGGGCATGCCTATAGGAATCATATCACCCCTCCAGTTGTCCATTTTCTGCTACAAATCAACGTAAAGCGTCTTAATCTCTTTTAAAAGAAACACTCTGGAAAGAAAGTTCTTTAAAGAAAAACGAGTGGACGGGTCGGGGAAGGTGTTCTTAAAAGATTGCGTTGAAACTGCATAAGAAAATGGGAAAGGAATAAATCCTAAACCATAGCCTGACGACACTTTGCGTGTGATACATGTGATCATAATACAAGAAAGGTGACTGCAAAAATAATACAAGAGAGAACTTTGATTATCACTAGGCATGTAAGCAAGTCTTATTGAAGGAGAAACGTTTAGTAACCCGGAGGAGTTAGAGTTAAAGTACGTTTAAAACACGAAGATTACTGAGGTGCTGCCAAACAATTGAAGACTTGATGCAACACAAATTATATTCTATTGAACAGCTGAGGAAAAATTTCTTGCCCCAAGATCTGCCAATAATGTTTCTAGATTTACCCATTCCACTGGCAAAATGATTAAGACGTCCATTTTTTGGGTGGTTGACTTCCCACTTTTCATTCAGAGAGAATCACCAAATGTAGTATTTTCGTACCTAACATCTGTTCAACTTGAGTTCTATGTTGAAAGCATGACGGTTGATTGTGTTGGTCGTGTTGGATGTGGTTTTTGTGTTGGGGTTGTTGTGGTAGTTGTGTTGGTTATGGTGCTTGTGTTGGTTTTGTTTATTGTTGAAGATGCGCTTTTATTCACTTCACCAGGGTTTCGTCGGGTCTTTTCTCTCTAATTGATGCTACAAAGAAAATATTAGGCAAAGTGTTTGCGTCTTTGTAAAGTAAGACAACAGATCCCTCACAGATACACAGGGTTGCTGTACTCTTAAATCTGTGCCAGCTTACTTTTATATATACTTAAAATTACGTACCTTCAAATGTTCAATAGCTTTAATCCAAGGCATGAGCGACTCCTTTTCCAGCATTTTGCCTGGTCCTAGGTCACAACAAAGAGCCCTTCCGTCCAAAGGTATGTAGTGGCTACAGTCATGGTGTCTACATGACCTTTCCTCGTGTCGCAAGCAGGGTTCTGTCTTTTCCCCTACGCAAACTGTGCATCGAGCGCACAACCTCTCAGACATTAATTGCAGCCAGTGACACTGCGTTCGAAGCTTTTCCAGGAATTCACTTAACCGGCTAAAAGTTGAAAACGTAAAAAAAATAACATGAGATTCGTAGCCAAAAAAGGCCTAGAGAACAACTTAAGCCAAAAAATATACAGCTCATATACTTACAATCTAAAACTTTTAAAAGCTATGCCAATTTTACACGATTATTTTTGGTGCAGCTAAACTAACTGCTCGAAACTCTCGACATTTCCCCAGCAATCAAGCGTAATGCAAATTAACACCATCATGCGAAAAGGAAAGGTGCCCTAAAGCCCAGGTGATGAGACCACGAAGCCAAACCCGACGCAATAAATCATCCCAATGACCTTGCAAACTAGCAAACCAGCAACAGACAACCTAACCACGAGTCCAAGATTGCTACCGATGGTTCACTTTCCAAAGCGGAAAGATTACCAAGAACTATGAGCAGCCTCCCCTACAGACGTTGAAAAAGCGTAGACCAATCACAGCACACTTCCAGATCTGGGAAGTGCACTTTGGACCTTGAGAAATTTCGCACGAGACTCGAGAAATCATCAGACAAGATGCTATCGGAGCGTACACTTGGCCATTGTTGTATCCTGCGTATGAGAGGATTTTTTGGGTCAGGCACGTGTGACTACCGCAGTATTGAGTTCCATGTCTTGCTTGTCTTCAGCCTAATCAAACATGAAGACTGATAGCGCAACTGGTTTGTTTCCATCCTCCTTTCTATTGGTTGGCCCAGCTACGCACCATCCAAAGGTTGACGCTGTGGATTGTCCCACAGCAATAGTCAAGAACCATGTGTCCGTGCAGTATGTCTTGGCCGTCTATAACAGATACTTCATTCACATCCACTACAATATTTGGCAATCGCCGACCACTGGGGTATGGCCAAGGAGACAATTTCAGTTGACTTGAGCAGTAAAGTCTAACACATTCAAGCTTTTCACTGTCAAGGCGTGATACACTGGGGAGGAAGGACTACCTTGGCTTATTGAGCTGATCTGGAATGTGACCTTGAATAACTGAAGGTCTGGTCCCTTTAAGTGATAGCGTTTATGCTACCGTTATCTGGAACTCCTTGAATTTGCAGTCTGTTTGCAATGTTAGAAGGAATCATTGAACTAACAGCAGCCGAATCCAGCCGATCATATGTAGTAAGTGTTCTCCCCCATTCAGCAGTCACTGTAAGTGGAAAAACCTCGAGAGCAATACAAAGCTCCTCTTTTATTCTCCGTCGTTGCACTGTTCACTGGCAAGTTGGATTCTGCGGGAGAACTCTACTCAGCGTTGCGTTTAACATCTTCAATCCCTTTTTGTCGAAATATGCAACAGCAAGTAGTGATTGTGGGAGAGCACAGTCTTTCTCAGTAAACCTAGCCCTTTCTGGGCAGTTCCTTTGCGAATGAGTGTAAAACAGACATCGGTAGCAAAGAACCTTGCAAATCGTTACCGCTAACCCACGCCTATAGACAGAAACACCGAACACTTTGGGATAGCAGAGTGTCCCTTGCAGACCTTACAGTGTTCGCCTTGATTGCTGTCACTTCCATTTCCTCCTTGTTCGCTGGGAGTTACCGGTTTCTTTGTCTCGTGAGTACCTCCGCTTTCTCCGCTAGGACCTCTGTTGTCAGAGTAGGGCTCTTCGGACCAAACCTTTCTTCAGGCGCCCTTTTATTGTGATTGTTGCCAACAGTGAACTTCGTTTGTGACTCACCTTTTCTACCATACACCAGGTCGTTCTCAATTTGTGGCTGTGCAGTAATCAACTTGGATAGCTCCTTTAAGCCTGGCTCCGTTCACGATACAACTTCGCAGTCTTTCTCCGTTTCCTTTGAAGGTGACCCGGCAAACGATCATAGATGTGCCTCAAGTAAGCGGTACAATCAAGTTCAAATTGCTGCAACTCAGTCATTGCCCAGCAACAAATCTCAATCTTATCAGACAAGGCTAGGAGTGCAGCGTTATCCTAGCTTTTATCTTTGGCCCATTCGTAACGGACAATTTCAAAGCTTGGACTATCATGGCACTCTGTCTAAATCTGTGCACTAACACCCTCAGGGCCAACTGACATCCATTTTGTAACCCATTGTAGTTCTCAGTTACCTCCTTTGCTTTTCCTGTTGTGCAGGACATCAAATAGTTCATTTTTTCGCTGTCGGACAGCGAGTTTTTACATTCAACTCGGTCCCGGATATTTGCTCTAAACCTTAGGTACTTGGTTAGGTCGCCGTCAAACGGGGCAGGCTCAAGTGGTGGCTGTTACAGTCTCAGTTCCATCCTTTCCCAGAAGGATGCTTTGGGTTAACATCTGGTCGCTTTATTAGAAGAGGCTTGTTCAGCTTGTAATGACTTTCGGCATGTCCACACATTTTACAAGGTATTTTTTACAAGAGCACAATCTTTCCGTTCGTCTACGAGTCGGTATCTGGACTTCAACCAGTATCAGCCTGAGTTTGCAAAGGTGATAGTGGAGAAAGGGTAAACTCTGGTGGATAAGGATTCAGGGCGCTAACAGACTCTCTTGTCGCTGACACTCTGGTCTGCATTTAAAGTGCCAGGAGACACATTTAACAAAGAACTATCAAAATTTAGAAACCAGCACATGTCAGTGTTCCTGATGAAAGCAGTCTAAGAAAACCCTAAGTAATTTTGGTCCCATATCAAAAAAGTTGAAACGGATAAAGTTGGCGTTGGTGACATTAAATTTAATAGAACGATATTAAATGATCCACTGGTCAAGGGAGAAGCGCTCAAACAACAATTTTCGAGCGTGTTTACTCATGAGGATGTGATTAATATACCTACTCTGTGTCCGAATAGTAACATACCAAGTATAGCTTCGTGAGTCATCAACCTGAAAGGGGTTGAGCAACAATGCATTCCCTAATTGAAGACAAGGCTTCCGGACCTGACTAACTTTATCCGTGGTTGCTGAAAATGGTTGAAACTGAGATTGCACCCATTTTAACAGACATTTTCCAGACATCCATGAGAGAAGGAAAATTACCAAAACTTTGGAGAGAGGCAAACGTATTCTGCATCTTCAAGAAAGGTGATAAAAGTAACCCAGAAAACTATAGGCCAATTTCCTTGACCTGTGTTACGAAGCACCTTGTGGATTATGGTATTCCGGTTGACTCTCAACATGGCTTCAGGACCAGGCAATCCACTAAAACACAACTGTTGGCCACGGTACATGACATGGCATATGCCCTCCAATGCAATAACTCAGTATCGTTAGCAACCCTTGATTTTGCTAAGGCCTTTGATAAGGTACCTCAGGTGTTCAGTTCGTTAGTAAATTATGTTGGAAGGAACATATCGAATTCGTGGTCAAAGGTACTAATAAGATCCTAGGTCTCATAAGGCGGAACTTCTGGTTCTGCGACGAAAAAGTAAACCTGACCTTGCATAAAACGTTAGTATAACCTAAACTCGAGTATGCAACGTCAGTCTCGGATCCACATTATAAATGTGATATTCGTAGACAAGGTGTGCAAACAGCCGCAGCACGCTTCTGTAAAAGTGATCAACGCTATACCTCCAGCGTTAGCATTATGTTGGATAGTCCTTACCTCGAACCCCTCCAAACGCGAAGAAAACTAAGTCGCCTATGTATGATGTACAAATTTATTCCCGGACTTATTGATTTGAATATAAATAATTATTTGCAATTCTCCACGGAAACACGAACACGGAACAGTCATGCGTATAAATTCCAGACGCCCTTTAGCTCTAAGAATGCCCTTAAATTCTCATTTTTTCCCGAGGACATCTAGGGAGTGGAATCAGCTCCCAGCAGAGGTAGTGGTGTCTCCATCGCTAGCTGTGTTCAAGGAGAAAGCGACACTTTCTTTTCAAACTAGCCAAGGCATTAATATGTACCATTTTAAAAATCTGTAGTTATATCCAGGTCTTCTCGGTTAACGGTGCCTTAACCTGCACGAACGCTGCATTTTTGACGTCATTTCCTCGTTACACAAAATTCTTCCAAATTTGGTCATCAGTAACTTGTTGTGGTGAATTATGCGTGTGCTTTTAGCCAATCAGAATCGGGGAAATATTTTGAATGAATAATAATTATTATTACTTTACTACCTTAATAAAGGTAAAGATAAAGGTAAAGTTACCTGAAGATTGTAATTGTATTTCTTTAGTCGGCCTGGCCTTTATGTTCACATCATCATTATCTGGGTCATCTGATCCTAGGTATTGTTCTGCATCCTTTAGGATGGTATCTACCACTGTAGAGTTTGCTTGCGGAATACAAGGCGAAAACGCGGTCTCAGAAATAGTCGCCGATTCGCCTGCAGCAATCTTTCCGTCCCTCTCGATGTCAACTCTCGCCGAATCGCACACAGACATGACAAACCCGATTCAACATGTGTATCAAAACAACAACACTCTTCATAGACGGACAATATCTCAGACAATTTGCTTTGGTGAGACGCCGACTTCGGTGACAAACGGAGAAACTCCAGCAAATGACCGCAAATCGAAGACAACAATAAGACTCGCTTCAAAAAACAGCAGTCCGAAGTAACTGTAGGTGCAAATCCGCTATGAACGGACCTTTAACACTTTTATTAGGACAAACTATTCAATCTGTGCAGAACCAGGATGTACACGTTGTCCAGATCACACCAAAGGCAAGAAAGGCTTCAAAAACGTCATTACTTCAGGTGAAATCGCTCCACACTAATACATCAAGTAACTTCGTACAAAAACAGCTTATCACATAACCTAAAAGGCGGGAAGACGAAACAGGGAACCCAGCCGCAACATTTTAGCATCCAAACACTTGTAGGGTGGTAGAGCCGCCCTATGCATTTATCGCACATCCAGTTGTCCATTGATTTCAGGTACATACACTTTAAGTTGATACAGTTGGCACACAAAATGTTCTTTAGGTTCCACTTGGTGATCGCATTTGGCCACTGTTTCGAGGTGGGTGCTTGCCGCCTTTCCCTGGCTAAGTCCGGGATTTTTTTTCCACATGATTACTTATCACCAGCGCTTGAGTAGCCATAGAATTACTGTAATAGGCAGTGCGTGTTTTGGAATATCGTAGCTTACCCCATTTTGGAAATAGACCGGAGTCTATTATTCAATGCCAGGCGTAAAATAAAACAAAGGAGATGTTTTGATGGTTACGCTCCATCATCGAGAAATTCCACCCACTGTTAGATAAATGCTCATTGACTGCTGGTGAGAGAGGTCATGAGAGTTGAAGCCCTTACACTTTTAGAGCAAACTCTTCAGATAACTCGCACGCCTTCATACGAGAGGGTAGTCTCACTATCTCATTGAAAACATTACCTCGGAGGTTAAAGTAAGGCTCAATTTTCGACATCTCCTGGGGTCCGAGCCAAAACAGAAGTCGGCTCTACTACGAATCAGTAAACTGCCTTTTGTTCAGTTATAACGTACCATTCCACCGTTGCCTCACCAAAAGAACACCTTTTTGCTCCTTATGAGCAAATGACATCAAATCCTGCGTTTACAAAGAAAAATATACAAAACGCCAACACTTATCTCCCACACTCTAGTCCGGAGAAACAAAACTCTTTGGTCACGTATCACACTATACCGAGCTTGTACGTCGTGTTTGGCTTGGCAATACTGACTACAGCAGCGCCGATTGGATGTCCGATAATGTGCACGTGAGCTGCAGCTAATATTTGCGAACAATGGGAAAGGGATTTAACCGCTCGTTTCAGCAGACGTTCATGGGGTAGGAAAGCGTAACAAACCCCCACGAACGTCTGTGTGGGAGGCTATCGTTGAGGACATAGTATCTCCTAAATCTAACAGAGAAAACATCTTTTATGTAATTGTAATCTGACTTTAATACTAGACAGTTCTTAAGCTGGCCGGGTCAGCTGACATTATTGCTTGATTCTGAAACTTGTAACCTGCAACAACCTGATTTGTTGCAAGACAGGTTTTTTTCGTTGGTGTTAACAGGAGCATCATCGCTATATAACTCGTTTTGCAGCAACGTTAACGTTGCAAAACAAGCTGCAAGTTTTTGTTGGCCAGTTTAACGTACCTAAACAAAATGGCAAGGCACGTGCAAAGGGCACGCATAGAGCAGAAACATGAACTTTCAGCTTAAAAAATACTTACACAACTCAAAATCGTTTCGTCCGCTGCTCTTACTACTAGTCTTCAACTAAGTCAATTACATTATTTTAACCACGTTACTGTTCATTATATCGGCAAAGCTTACGAAAATTGGAAGGGTGGAACTCTTTGAATTGTGTCAAACCCTTCCCGTTTGAAAATCCTTCCCCTATAGAGACTCCCTTCTACTTCTAGCAGCATGCAGATTGAAAAAGGTAAATGGAAGGAAATTCACGCAACACTGACGCTACAGCAAGAAAAAATTATTAAACATTTACAGATATAACGTGAAGGAAGTAAGAAGTAATTTGAGTTCGAGTTGTTACCTTAAAACACATTCATAACACTCCTGTGGAGGGCTATCGTCAGCTTTTCCAAAAATGTGCAGCTTGATGACGGTCTTGTAGCATACCAATTGAAGGAAATGGTTGTTACTATTGTCAAGGGCAAATCTAGCTTCATTTGCATCCAGCTTGTACATATTTGTAAACTGCGGGTCTTTTACAAACAGCACAATCAGTCGGGAAAATAGCCCACTTGGAACATACTCAGTATGAAAAGTGAGGAATATGGGTACAGGCGATCCAGTTTCAATTTCCTTGTCTTTAAAGTGGGTAGCTCGCAGCATACATGGGACGAGGATGTGTGATTCTCCTGTCTTTACAGGCAACTTGCAGATGAGGTTAAACTTATCCATTAAAGAAATCAAACAGTCTTTAATGGAAATGAGACTTTCATCTTTGCAGATATAATTAATCAACCGCCCAGAAAGAATTCCTTTTTCAGCCAGTTCCTCACGATCTGTTTCTATACACCATGGTTCGTTCTCTTGGGGATTCACATTAATAATCTTGCCAAATATTTTGATTAACCACTGCGGATCCAAAATGACCAGACCAACATTCTCTTCATCATTTTCATGTTCATGGTACACTATTGTCCCACGGCTATGCAAAAAATGCACAAGTTCATCAAAGTCATCCTCTTTTTCAAAAGAGCAAAAGGGTGAAACAATTTCTTCACGAAAAGATTCTTTCGAAAGGAATTTTCTTCTCTGCCATTTTGGTTGTCTGATTTCTTTTTCAACTCGATGCCACGGCAAAGGGATTGGCTTCTTGGTATGTGGCAGTTTATCGGCAACCTCGAGAATCTTTCCTCGTAACTTCTCGATTTCATGCTGGTCGACTGATTTGCCAGCTTTCGTGTTATCGATAGATAAACGATCTATGATGTGTGGCAAATACCTGTCTTTACAAAACACGCGTGAACATCTCTGTTTTATTAACTCCATTTGCTCACTTGGATCGTCTACACAGTCAGCATGGGTACCGACAAGTATGACTGGGGGAAACGAAGCAGTCTCCTTTTCGTTTTGATCACCCTTTTTAAAAGAGTGAATCAAATCCATCCACCTTAATAAGTGATCCAAATTGGTGTCCTCGTCATCGCGGGCTGCTACAATGTGCTCTTTGTGACCCACATTCACTCGACATACTGCTTTTTCACTAAGTTTCTTTGTAAGATCAAACACGAGAAGATATATGTCTTCAGGGGACAAAAAGACTGGATGTATAGCACGATAAATATCCTGTCCGGCAAAATCCCAAATGACAGGCCAAATTTTCTCATCGGATTCAAATTTGCGTTTCTCTAGATTTTCTGTTAACAGCACGGCAATGTCATCTGGCATTACTTTCTCTCGAGGAACGTGAAATGATTTCTTTGTTTTTTTAAGATCTTGGTCTTCTGCAAGAAAGAGCGAAGAAGAAAAGCATATAAGTAGCTGTTAAATCGAAACCTCAACAAAAAATTATGTGCAAGGCTTAATAGAGGAAGGGGAACAATGTGGAACAATTATATTTTACCGTTCTCAAGTACTATTCAAGCTTTCTTCGACTACTGTAACAGTCTTCTGATATTGTCCTAAGCGCGATTAGCAAGGTAATCTACAAGTTTATTTATAGGCAGTCTGTAATGGTCATGGTAAGAGCCAATGCGGCGAAGGCTAAGTGCAAGGCTACAAGTAATAGAGCATTTGGTTTCTAACCAAACCTAAATGCTAAATAGCGTTTCCATCCATAATGTCTGCAATTCCTTGTAATGACAGAGCAGTAAGAAATCAAATAAATACTTGACAAATCTAGTAGGTCTAGCATGAAGTGTCCACGAGAAGCGCCACTGTAAAAATCACGTTTATATCTTAAGTCTAGAATGTCAGTAAGACATTATGTTCGGTGAAACGGTGATAACGATTGCCTTCAGCGCTTTTCAGCAAGTTTGTGACAATCGCATGACGGTTTGATCAGTTAAGTTCATCTTCGATTCTACAGTAAACAAAGGCGAATCGCACAATCAAATGTCACATTTAGCGGGAATCAAGGCCACAAATAACTCCTCTGCGCCTTGTGCTCGCTACCTCAAAGCAACATTAGATATTCCTCAATTCTTCGCGTTCTATATATTACCACCCTTATTCGTATTTTGTGCATTTGTATAATAACATCTCCCAGCACGTAGTGTCGTTTCTTTAGCTCCGACGTACACGCGTCATGACTGAACCTCCTCCGCCTGTCCTACACCCTATGAATGTTCGTCCAAGAAAATTTAAACGAAATTTGAAGAAAGTTTCAAAATGCCCCCTCTAAAGTTCCCGTTAACTATTCTCCGTCAGCCATATCTCATTTTATATTCAAGCATATTGTAGGTGGTGAGAATATGCCGATTACGATTCTTTTCCAATTCCCTAACTGCTGTTAATTTTTTTTCACAGGAAAAATTCCTTTAGTCGTTGAAAGACTTCGTATGTAGGTACTACATCATAATAATCACATTAAGCATAATAAAGCACACTAATAGTAACGGCGCTTTTGATTTCATCCTAAAGTTCAACTTACGATTTCTTGGAACGCTTTTCTCCTGTATCCTTCTAGGAAAGTCTTCTTTTTGGTGGACTTGAAGTCTTTCTTCATTAGCTGTTGTTGGCTGTTTAGGGTCTCCTGTGCAGAAACAGAAAAAAGGTTATATGAGAATGTAGTGTTGTAAATCTTTAGGAGCCAAGGTCGAAAGTCAGAGGAAACACATTGTGTTTGCCATTTATAGGCCTACCAGCAGTATATTAAAAAAAAATTCCCTGACTTTTCACTGACCTGGCATTATATCACTAACAATAAAAAACAATCCACGTTTTGATTTGCTTCTGCTTTCCTGCAGCCATCAATATTCATTTCCCATTTTCCATTTGTTTATGCTTTTTGTGGAATTTTTTTGCACGAAGAAAATCTAACTCCGTGACTTTTCACTGACTTTGACAATATCTAGGATTTTCCCTGACTTTTTCAATAAATTCTCCGACTTTTTCCTGACCTTGAACAATTTGTTTCTTTTCCCTTGATTTTTAACTTACGGTGGCAATCCCGTTCTCTCTACCTTCCATATATTTTAGTTCCACGGGTAAAATCCTTAGAGAACTGGAATTTAAAATTTCATGTACTAGAAACATAACTAAAACAAACATAACTAAGGAGAAAAATCAGCGCAAAGAAAATAATGAATGAAACAAAAATTAGATCTCTTCTATTTTCAAAATTAGGAGCGGGTTCACCACCAATCGGTCTTAATACTATTTCAGTGTTCACGTGAGATCAGGCTATGTTTTTGTTTTGGTTGGAAGTTACTATAATTAGCCCTTGATTTACGGTTATATTTATGGCAGACGCTTTTCTCTTAAACAGCGGACTCGTTATACTCAGAACGAGCAACTATAATCACTGGATACATTTTTAAAACTGGTGAACAAGGGTTGCTATGGTACGACCTGAGGTTACTAGAGGAAAAGGTAAAATCCGTTGCATTCTCGATACGATGTCGTCCGGACGTACCTTCGATAGTGCTCTAGTTTTGCCATTTTTATTTCTGTATTTGGCATTCTCTTCGATAATTTCTGACAGACGGGGTCATTTCGAGGACCAGTGCTTCCTATCGAAAGGAAACAACGTCAACGTATGCGATATACTGAAGGTTGGGCCATCTTCTATAGACTTCTGCCCTTGAGATCAAGTCCGCCATCTTATCACTGTTGTACGTGGCAAAAGCTATTTCGCTATAAGGTTGAGTTACCACTCCAATTCGATGTCTAGTTTTCACCAAATAAGACTGTCTATCAGTGGAGACATCAATTTGAATCCTGGACCCGTCAGATGCTATCACTGTTCCAAGATGATCTCTCGAAATCACCGGGCGCTCAACTGCAACGAGCGTAACACTTTCATATTAGGTGTGGTGGAGTAAGCCCGAAGCAATTCAAAAGTATTCAACCGCAGAGTTGGATTAGCAATGTTTGCCTTCTATTTAATCTGCCTTTCTCTGGCGACGTTACTTTACTCGCTTGACTGCGGGTTACATTTGAACACTGTAGAAGTTGATTATGGCCCTGTCCCGGATAATATTTTCAAATCACGTTCCAGCGCGCGATGTGTCATTGGCAACCTCAATATCAAAAGTCTTCCCTCAAAATGGTTGGAGGTCCAGGAATGGATTCGATCATTTGACATATTAAGCATCCAGGAA